CTAATATGAGTGCATGAATAAGACGAAATTGATGAGAGTCGGACACATGAAGATAGAAGCAAAAATCTGACCAATGTTATCCAAGATTTAAACATGAACATATAAAATCACAAAATAGTAACGAAAAGAGCGAAAGGGAGAATGTCGGAGGGGAGTATATAATGAAATTAGTTTTCTAAGGCTTCTGGAAACTTTGACATATCCACTCCACCAAAAGAGGTTTAATTCAATTTGTGGCATTCAAACTTTCAAAGCTAATTGTACACGATCTTGCGAGAGCTAATATTCTTGATTATACAGGGCTGTTGATTGGTTGCTTAAAATGAATGATCGGTCATGTCAAATTGCCTTGATTTGTTTGTTACTTCTTACATCTTTGCACAGGTAGGTCAGTGGATACAGTTCTCCTAACTGCAACTGGTACCTCAAAGTTAATGAGAAATTTTGTATACGAATAATTTCCAATATCACCACTTCATCATTAGTCGTGCTATCATTATCACCTTGGTGATTGGTCGGTACGCTTTCAACCAATTAGTCAATTTCAGGGAGTTCACTTTTAGTCTTCTGTGAAGAGCAAAGCTGGTGAACTCCCCATACCCGATCACTTCAGTCATTACTCCTGTTCAGAGTTGAATTGAGGCCTATTTCAATCTTACACAAGATATTGCAATTCCATTCAACCAGGGGAATTTAAGGTAAGTTGGCTGTCGGTGTATACATGTGTTACTTTCATTATTCAGACAGCTAACCACGTTCGGCACCTGTGATTTTAAGGATGTCCGAGTGACCAAATCGACTTTGTTTTTTCAACCAACATCTAAAACATGTAGGCCACAAAACTCCTCAGGTCGCAAGAATTAGTGCCAATCAGGTGACATTTACTAAAAAGTCAAAATTTCAGACACCTGGAGGTAAAGCAATATCGACAAAGACATAGATATGATTTATTTCCATGCTCTATACCGAAAAAGGAGCATCAGACATACATACGCGCACGCATACACACACGCACACACACCTATTGGTAAAAAAGTCTTAAAATATGAGGACGTAGATGGCATTTTAAAATAAATTAAAGGGTTTCAACAATGCTCTAATCACGTGGACATAAGACAACGAGGTAGCTGCAAAGCTTAACGCTGATAGAGCGAAAATAAGCTTTGGCAATGCACCAAAATGTTCGAATAGTTGTGGGGAGATATTTATAGCCAATGAAAAGGCCTCGTTAATAATTTTCCCTTCAAAGTTTGAACGAATTTTAATCACTCATTCGCTTGCTGGGTCATAGGCAGCTAATCGCACTTTTCAAGATAGCCTAGTGTGCAAGATGTACATTTGATCATCATTGATAGATTTGCACACTCCACTGTATAGCTCAGTTGTCTCTAATAAAATTCTAGCTAGAAACATCTGTCAGCAGCCTAGTGCTCCTTCATATTAGACGAAAACAAAACACAAACATGTTGATATCGATGTGTATGTTATAATGAAGACAGATACAAGATAGTTTAGTAGAATCGAGGCGAAGATAACGAGAACAATATGATAAATACCAAGCTGTTGCTGATTTATAATTAAAAGTAATGATGATTAAAAATAGAAAACATAAGAAAAGTATCTTGAATAATCGAGTTTCATCAATTGAGAAGTTTGATTACTCAATGCGCTAGCATTGGAATGTCTAAATAGTTACGCATAAAAAAATAATAATTACTGTGTAACATTTATCATTTAAAAAATACTGTCATGTGTATATCTCCCCTTCTAAAACTTTTATTCAAATTAATTAAAATTTAAGCCCGCGTAAATATCAACCAATCAATCATCAGAAGCTCTTTCACGTGTGCACATAGTTATATAGGCAAAACTACCACCCCAAGGTCAGTGATTTGGTTGGTGGAGCGTCTTAGGAGCTCGTTCGTCACCCATCGCCGATTTCGCACGCGTTTTGCCAAGTATTTTTTGGCGATGAGTGAACAACAGATTGATACATTAACCTCAGAGGAATTGCAAACCTCAACGGAACCCCAGGAATATCATGTGTACATTCTCTTAAGCTTTCTATTTTGGTCTTTCGTTCATCATCTTGCTTCAAAATGGATGTTCAGGAATAATCCTACTTATCGTGCCTTGTCTAAGAATAAACGCATGGAATGGGACTCCAGGTCAGTAAATATTTAAGAAAATTTGAATTCTGTTGTCGTTTTATAGATTTATTAACTAATCATATTTGCTTATTTTGATTTTTCGTTGACTGCATAGATTCTTTACTTGAAAAACCGTAATTTCAATTAGGAAAATTATGGTTTCTAAATGTTGTAAGCATTGCACCAAACAATTTTTTATCTAAGTGATCTGTAAAATATGACATTGTCTTTTGAACTAGGCCTAAGCTTATGTATTTTGAGTGTAGTAAGTTTATTTAATTCAAGTTGACTCATCGTAACGCTTATATTTATTTAAAAATACATTTTCTATTATTTACCTTCACAATTATTTCGCATCTGAATTTCTACGAATTATTTTCTGTTTGATAATTTAGGTACAAATCTTCTCTTTATTTTAAAATCATGTGATTTAAAAGCTTGATTTTATGCCTTTCATATATTACTCTTGGTTGGGATTTATATTGCTAAATAATGATAATCAGCCAACTTTTATTCATCTATCCTATCTCTTTTCATACTTTCTTTTCAGAATCATGTCAACGATTCACGCTACAATAGTTAGCATCCTTTGTGTCGTTTCCCTAGTCAAAGAAACTCAACTTTGGGCTGATCCATTCTTGTAAGTTTCCAGTTTTGCAATAGTGGACTCTAAGTTGAGTTTTGTACGTCATTTACATGCCGAGTTTTTTTTGACGCTGGATCTAACTTTACTCATATTTTCTATGAAGTTGCATGACTAACACGCAATTCTATTTCGATTTCTTAACATTACTTAATATCAACGTGGTGTATACCAAATTCCTCTGATGTATATTTAGAAAGACAATTTCAATGGAACAATTTTTGTCAGATTAGAGATAGATCTATGATTTACGTTTGATACTGTGGAATGAATTTCTATTGTCAAATTATAATTTTAAATTTTAACTTAGTTTACTTTGGCGTACGTCTGATTTGCCACTTACGCGAGAATAACTTCTAATGGATATAGTGATTTTTGTCTATGTTATGAATACCACTGAGGTTGAAATGGGGAGGTAATGCCACCTAACCGGACCTACTGATGGAACTGGCGAAGTTGCTTTGCCTGATAGATTAGTGCTTCTTGGAATATTAAAGTACTGATACATTAAATGCATACCTGGGCTTCCACATGGTCTACTCACACACGTGTTCACGGAATCAGTTATTTCAGGCATCATGCCATCTTTACCACATTTATACTTCCTGCCTGATTGTCTTGTGAAGCGCTTAAAAATACCCGCCTATTCTGTTAGAAATATGACGAAAACTTGCTTTCTTTAGAAGAGGGTTTGGGGGTGGAGTAGATCTGCAAAATTTCTGGTGCCACTTCTATACTGTTTATAAATCACAGCTCTATCCTTTATTTTGTTTTTCATTTTAGTGCCCAAGGAAGATTGGGCGTTTTGGCGTTATGTATCTCCATCGGCTACTTCACGTGTGGTAAGTTCGAGTTCCCTTGTCCTCTTTCGTTATGATCAGATTATGATCATAATCATTAATTCAACAAGTAAATTTATGAACAGTTTACTAGATGCCATTTCCTCCTCAGTCTTATTGTGTGAGCTGAAGGTATATCCTGGGGTTTGCACTCTTGTTGTTCCAAAAGTTTGCGAGTATGATTGTTGTTGCTTGAATCAGGCGATGTTTATTATCAGAATGAACTGTACAGTTGTTTTGGGTACATTTGCACTGAGTTACTGGTAGTTATAAGTCCTATGGGTTTCTTGGCGCCAATTACATACTTGTATATATTCTTCGGACAGCTTCATCTTATCGAGCTCTCTGGGTGGTTGTCGGCCCATTGACTTGATTTGTTTATTTGCAATGTAAATATACATACATTTTTCTTAAGTCGATTAAGGGTCTCCACTATAGCATATCCATTTTTTGTAATTATACTATTTTCCATGTGTCCAATAAACGTCAATGAGGTTAAGCAATGTAATTCGTGACTTGTCTAAATCTGTCGGGCATTTGTCTAGCCGAAGGTTGGTCGATTGGAATTTTTCTAGGGGCTTTTTCATAACTTTCCTGTTGCCCTAACTTAAGGCTACAGCTACTCAGACTCAAATAAGGGAAAAATAGAAGACCATTTTCCACAAAATAAACTAATTTATTTGAGCTTGAAATATATGTGGTTAAGGACTGGTTACCGGATTAGCCAGCAAATGCAGCCACTGCTTCTCCCAGATGGTCTGACATTCAGGTGTGAGTGTGGGAATCCAATACAATCAATAAATGTGAGTCTGCTTTGAAAGCAATAAGACTATTCGACTAGACTTCCTAGGAGTTTGAGTCAGTCATCCTATCACTGTTGATTGGAAATTGTGGAGAGTGATGGAATTGTATTTTTTTTCTATTCACGCAACGTTACTTTAACTTCTTAGCCAATTTCGGTCAGGAAGCCACGTAAGTGACCTTAAATTTTTCTCCTTGATCGCACATGTCCTGCGGTAGGTCGTAAATATCCCCAGTCTTTTATGGTTGTTTTGGTTACTGCCTCTATTCCCTCAAATCCCATATATAAGCTTGCTATTGGAATTTCGGTTGTTTAAATCAACTTTTCCAGTTTTATTTTAATTTATTAACATAATTGCAATGTAACGACTTTGGAATCAATTTAAATTGTTGGAAAACAATTTCGAAATTCGTTGAAGGACATTTTTGCAATTTTTTAGTAATTACCCTCAAGATGCTAATGCCACCATTGCTTTCCTTGCGCACCCACGGATCGTTTCATTATATTAGGTGATTTCGAGGGTCTTTTTAAAAGAGGTTGTAGCAATTATTAGTCACCTCTTGGGAATCCAGGTTTATGGCTTCCCAGGCGAGCTATGCGTAGTAATAGCTTTTACGGATGAGGAACTTTTTACTTACACACAAATCTTGTGAAGTAATGTAAAAGTTTTCTTTCTTGGAGTATGTACCAATTTTGATCCGGTGTCTGATATCGGCTTACAGTGCTTTATAAAAATTCGCTTCCTGATCAGTGCCCAATTAGCTGTTGGATACTGTATTAGCAGGCTATTTATGGCTTTTCAATCTGCTGTTTTCTAAATTTGCTTGTGTATAAAGATGCAGCAAATCACATGAGAACGGCTCTCTTTTATTACAATTCCTCAATTTGTCTCTTTTCTCACAGATTTGATCTCAATGCCGATTTACTATGATCGCAAAAATATGATAATTTTCACTCTACACCACTTAGTTGCAACAATTGCCTTCTACCAAATTTTGGTAAGTTCCACTTAAATGCTGTTTAGTGAAATGAGTTTTTGATTTACGGTTATCCCAAGTGGTCGGTTTTGTTTCTCTACCTATTTAGGACTATAAGGTCGGTCTCTTCTTTGGTGTGTATCGTCTTACAACTGAGCTCTCAACTCCCTTCACGAACCAAAGGTATGCACAATTTTTTCCCCTTAATTTTACTCCTTTTTTTAAAATTCATATGTGAATGGGTTTGAAACTTTGAAAATATCAGTGCAATAAAATTACTCTTAGTAGTTGATATTCCTTACGATACTTAACTATCTATACCCTTATTGCAATATTTGAGCTCTATTCTACTTTGTGAGAATGGGAGATTGTGATCGAGGCCTAAGTGTCCCGTCCGTAAAATTAAGCTTATTTATCTATCCCTCAGACATAGGTGATCTTGAAACCTGACCGCAAGTGGCAGCCTTCTCAAACTGGATAGGGTGCAATGATGTATTGGATCGTCGTATGGGATAGAATGGATGGGGGGGGGGGGGGGAAACATGGGTGAGAAGTAGAGGGCATCCACACAACGTGAGTGGAGACGAGTTGATGTTATGGGGACCGATTGGCTGTACTTATGTTGCCGCTGAGGAACAATCCGGGCAGTGTAAACAATGTGGAACATACCAAAACACCGTCAGGAAATTTTCCCGTTTATTAGAATATCATAAATGGTTCTCGAACTCTTTATCACTAACATTAGGGGACATGTTCTTGTAGGTACGCATTTAATGGCCGGTTAATTTTAAGCCTGCTTATGGGAAGAATATGGCGACTTGTGTCATGATTTGATATAGATCTCATCATTCAAAGGAGTGTAGAAGGCTAACGGCTTTTATTCCAGTGCTGTTTCATTTTTTTAGGTCTACAGCTGTCTTTCTTAATAATTCTGCCTAGACTTACTGTACATTTGTCAAGACCAGAATCCGATTACATCTTTTTTATTTAGAATTAAGATACAAGCTTTATAATGAAGTGTCTCTCCGCTGCAACGATCAGCAAGGTACTCTAGTGGCTACTGTTCGGCTGCTTTAAGCCTTTGAGAATAGAAATTTGGTTTAAACGATAAGCATCAGAATGTTATCTTCAATCTTGAAATTAGTTTCCATGCTAAACTCGGATAATTTATTTATTTATATCAAATGACAGGTGTTTTGATAGTTATCGTTAGCCCCTTAGTTGACTTCGGGCTTCACAGAGGGGAAGAACACCAAAGTGGGAGAAATTCGAGAGAGGGAACAGAAGTGTGGTTTAAAGATGCAAAAGAGACGGACATAAAGATAGAGAAAAGGGTAAGGTGAGTACTGTGAAGCGGCCAAGCATGCATTTTAGTGGGATCATGGTAGTTTGAAGTGAGAAGTCAACCGCCAGTTTATAGACTTTCTGCCGTATGAGTATACGTTGTCCAGGGTGCACCACATGGAGGTAAGTCTATCGCACAGCCCTGACTCGTATCATTATCTTCTAAAAACTGTATCACGTATTCTACATTGCTGAATAGCAAGGAACTAAACTTTCTCTATCCTATGAACTAAATATCCTTACCTTTTCTCCAAAGTAATTAATTGCTCAACAAGTGTAATGTATTCTCCTTTTATAAATTAACCTGCGTGTTTTTGCATTTGTGCTCTGATTGTATTTCGACAAATTACCATTGCTTTTTTTGCCTCCTAACAGGTGGTTTTATCGTAAAGTTGGCTACACTCTCGATCGAAGACGTGTGGCTATCGTGTCTCTCATCTTCTCCATTTTCTTTGTCATCACCCGCAACTTGATGATACTTCCATACTGGGGCTTTGTGTATCTTATTTTCAATTCAGAAGGACATGTACAGGCCCGTGCTCGTTTACCTTTTCTCGATATCTCATGGTTCGTCTCTTCACTTATTCTCGACGCACTCAATATCTACTGGGCTATTTTGGTCTACCCTATTGGCATCAACGCAGCTGTTAAACTCTACAGGGCTGATTGGAGAACGGATTTCGATCGGGCACGGGATAAGTTGCGTGATCGCTTCACTAGTGCTAGACGGCGGGCACTGACTAATGAGTAAGTCCATTTTTAATAGATTTAATGGAATTAATAAATCATAGAGTTAGTTGTGTCTCTACCAAGCATTGATTATAGTCCGCTAGCCTATTTAGCAGTTGGTCCCTCAAGTATCATCTCACCTTACTTCTCTTTCTTCCGGCGTAGTTTTAGTATTTTTTCAAATACAAAATCGTGGAAATTGTTTTAAAGTAGGCTGACCTAACTTATCCCTATATTTTATAGGTCAATTTTCTTACTTTCTGCAACAATTTGTCTCCGGGTAGAATTGCTATTAATTAGGTATACATCCTTAATCAAGTAATGCCACTTAAAAAGGGTGTTATAGTTTTTTTGCACTGTATCTGCATTCGAATTAATATAACTCATTGTTGAAGCCTATCATCAAGATGTGTTTGGGTCATTATCTCTGTGCCGCTTTCATGAGGTTGTACATTTTGGTGAAGATTGTCTCTAGTTAACTTTATGATTGATAACCTTAAACAATTTTAGCTTGAATTTCTCGGCATAGTAGGATCTTGGCAACTAACGCTTAAACAAATTCGTTCTCCACATATTTTATACTTCTTTTATAAGTTGCAATCGAAAAAATGTTGTTAGGGCTTTGATTTTTCATTTCTCGCTGTTACAACTCATGCTCACCAACTTAGATCTTAATTATCTATCTTAATTTTAAGATTGTAATACAATAAATATACTTTAATTTAAATATTCTTTTTTCTTATTCAATTGAAGTTGGCAATTAGTGAAATTGATGAATAAGTTCAAAAAATGTATGGATTTTTTATTGTCACCTTTTACTTCTTTATTCTGGTCATCTTAAGTGTGAAGGGTGATTCCTTACTGACATTTCTTTTTTTTACAACTTATAAAGTATTATTTTCAAATATATTGACTTTCTTGGTTCTGTCGCTTCGTCCAGATTCGTGGTTATAAGAGGAACGAGATTGATGGTCGATGATGGTCTCGTAAATTGAAAGCCATCCTTTTATAATATCCCTATTAAAAAGAATGTGAGTTGAAAATAAATCACTTGTTGATGCTGTTGCACCTTGAGCACTGTCTGCTCCGTTTATAATCTCATTAACTTTTAAAATTCGGTACAAGGTTAGCGAATATTTAATGCACGTTGGCTAGACAAGTCTTGATTAAGTCCTATCATTTCTGGATCGAGATTCTTCAATATATTGAATTTTTTTCATAACTCTAGCTGCATTGCATTTGCAGAAATTAATGTTGTTCTAGGTGTTCTTCCAAATGTAGTAATTCCTGGCCATTTTGATCCTTCTAGATTTATAAACCGGATACGTCGCACGGCATCCTTTAGCCGAATTCAACAAGCTTGGGAAGATCTTAAAGTATTCCCAGGAGAATTCAATTTCGACGGACTTTCCTCCATGGCTATGTCCGAGCGTTCATCGCCAATTCGTTGCTACTCTGATGTCGATGATGATGGTGACGATCCTGTTATGAACGAACTTTCGAGGAGAGGAAGTTTATTGGTGAAAAATCACATTGTATCTGACGACGAGGTTGATACCGGCCTAAAAATAACCTTCCGAAGGAAACGCAGTCTGTCTGGTGCTTAGAAATTCCCCATCAATCAGTTCCCTTTACTCAACCCAACTCGACTGGACTTTCGATCATGATTTTAGATTGTATGTATAAATATTAAACCCGTTCCCTCTTTCATCATTATTTTGTCTATCATCAATAAATCTCAATGGATTTGTAATCTACGCAGTTTTCTTCGAATGAGTTTCCCATGCCAAATGAAAGGAACTTTTATATCAGTTGTTTCAGCTTGAAGATAGTGTGGGCGGCGTAGTTAACTAATTAACTGGTAGTATAGAAGTAGTTGGTGATGCTACTAACACTGGGCTTCGGAGGTATCGGAAAATTTCAAATAAATTTTAACGAGTAATGGGTACTTAATATCAAACCACTTATTTATTAGTCCATGCAGTATATAAGTATATTGTGATTCAAACAAGGGAATAATTTTGAAAAAAAGAAATTGAACATACTATAGACTTCATTTTTAAATCTACATTAGGGACCACGGGAAATCAATTTCATATACCCATAATCTCTTCTCAAAAGATGCTCTTAATTGGCTGCTCAAACTTACTTTTAAGATATCTACTGTAAAAATATAAAATATAACTATAAAAATATATATATATAAAATATATATTTGACGCAATAAAATTAAAGCGAGTAGAAGATCGGGGTAACAGCCAATAACTAACTGAAAAATATAAAATATTCCAAGTTTGCGAAATGGCAGTAAATTTATCAATATTTGTTATATACAAGACTTATAAGACATTATAAATTTTGGTTTGATAACTTTACATAGATTATTTAATGCAACTTAGAAAAACCAAATAGTGTTAGAATGGTCTTAATAAGAAGCGCGAGTATTGATAACCTGCAAAATTTCGTCAATGAGGTTTTTTTCTTTGATAAAATCCATTTCCTCATTTGCTCTTTTCTCTGAACTTTTTCTTTTAATATTTTTTATTGACTGCTCCCTTCTATCTTTTGGTGTTTGCGATAGTTTGCAGTTGTCTACCGGTTCGATCTACTACCCTCATTTCCAAATATATCGTTTTCTAACTTTCTTTTTTGTGAACACAAATATTATCTTGTACTTTTTCGATGCAGTAGCTTACATTGCTTTTGATGTTGTTGTACAAAAACGGTGGAATTTTGTAGAAAAGCTTAAGTTTTTAATTATATCCACCTGGATTCCTGGATTTATGTGTTTGATTTTTTATTATATAAAATTTGCAAATTCCAGAACGGAGGCAGATTTATTTTACACAGGCGTTACTGGTTCCAGTGCATTTGTTGCTGCCGTGACCGTTGCCATTAAACAGCTAAGATATGATACTTCCTCCAACACGTCAGCCCAGCATTTTTATCACTATGGTCCCATTTTCTACTTGTCAATAGTGCTGTTCTTGCAATTATTTAATGTAATATTTCGTATTACATTCTTTTATTCATTCCTTGGTTTTCTCTTTGGATGGACTTATTTGAGATTCTTCCAAAGGCACACAGATGGAAAACGGGGTGATTTTCGTCCAAATTTTGCTTTCGTCAGGTTGGTTATATAATTGCTATTCTAAATATCGTCATCCAACAACTTTTTAATTCATATCTTTTTCCATTCCAGTTTCTTTCCTCGATTTATACAACCACTTATTGCAATTCTGGTGAACCTTATTTATGCTGTCTTCTTAACTTTTAAACTCTGTCCCAAAATTGAGCAACAATACGAAATTCTTTCTGCCTCATCTTTCTCGAAGGATGTACCTACTGTTTCATTCAGGGATAATGAGCGTCATAAGTAAGCTTTCCGTCATCCTTTTTTGTATTCCCTATATTGCTTTCATTCGTTTCTTCAAACTTTTTTCATTAACAACCAACCGTCTTTTCACTTTGTTTGCAACGATCATATCCGCAATCAAGATCTGATATCGACTTATTAACTACTTCTTTATTCTTTGGAAAAGTTTACATTTTGTTTAAAAACCGGTTGATTTATTAAAATTGGTGTTGCTTTTTATACTGCAAGTTGTTATATGTCGTTGGCATATTTCGTCAAATTACATTATATTTATATATACTCTTAACTGAAGTATTGGTTACTTTATCTTTCTAATTCCGCGGTTATTCCTATTCCATTTGAAGTTTACAGTCATATGAACTTGGGCCTTTTGTACTCTCTAGGAAGTTAACTGTTCACTGACTTTGAAATTTCCATACTATGGCGTACCCTTTTTTGAAAGACCGCTTTGTTTCTTTAGCAATGCTTTTTGTAGGCACTTGCCGACAAAAATTTTCTAGTTTAGAAATAAATGATGGATAAATACTTAAGTGATACTTTAAGTGATATTAATTAACTTAAATATAAGCGTATTGTGTTACGTCACTAGTAGAAGACAATTCATGTAATAGAATTAGAACTAGAATTAGTATAAGTGCCGAGTAAACACCTCGACTGTTAATTCGCGTTGGGTGGTTAACGAAATAAATGGACTAATGTTGATCGTTTATGAATTGAATTAAGGTCATTAGCTTTCTAAATTTTAATGCACACATTGTCTTAGTTACGAAATAAGCGTTTAATTACAACTTTCATTACGCCTTGCAGACGGATGGCGCTTCATGATTTGAATGCTCGATTAGCGAAAAAACATGAACCTCTCGAGCAATGGCCGTCTCTGTTCGATGAAGAAGGCCGTTCTCCACCATCAGATGGGTCCTTATTGCAACCTGCTCCAGCATCATCACACCAACCCGCAAAATCTTCCACATCTGCTAATGACGATCTTCCCGACGTTTAAGTTCTTACACTACTTTCTGACTGTGCTGGGGTTGAACATACTTTCCTTTTGCTCATACTTGTTTACTTTGGCAATTCCATTTTTACCATAATCGAACCAAATATTCACTAAGCTATATCATTATTGAGAATGTTTGTATAGACTTTACGGCCTTTTCTCTTGTAACAAAATTTTTTTATTCGTTTCATGGTTTGAGCGTTAATATGTGATCATATTAATATATTTGGGTTTGGTCGTTTTCAGTGATCCTTCTTTGATCTTACCATTATTGAGGTTTCTGCTTGGGTTTGGCATCTGATATATTAAGTTTCTGGGAAAGTAGCTTTTTTTCTCCCTGGAATTGTTGTTTTTTTTCCAAATTATTTAATAAATTCCTAACTTACGCGTCATGTACTACGATTTCTTTCATAATTTGATACCTCATGAGCCATTAACACGAGACTGACCTGATTCTGGTCTCGTGAGATGGTGGTTTACCACGTTATATTCCTTGCATTCCTAATTCCTGATCAGAGTAAATGACTGTTTGCAATCCACAACTTAGAAAAGGAATGATCATCTTTTAAAAAATTATATTCCTCAGTTATCTTATTAATCGAGTGTTGCTAAATCTTTGATACTTTATGCAGCGTTTCTTCTTGTGGCCTTGCAGTTTTCATTCTTGGAATTAGTGGCTACGGTTTTGATGCCTACTTGTGGAGGCCGATAAGTTGATTTTTCAGTCATACTAATCTAGTCCTTCTAATACGATGGTGAGTCAAAAGTTGTAGACAGATGCCATAACTTTAAATACACACTAAGGTATATAGGATTTTATGAGTTCAGCTATGTCTCTAGAACTTTTTCTAATAGCATACAATTGTCTGATCATTCTATGTAAAGTCAAGATCAAGACAGGTTTCATCAAAATATATCGAGCAATTTTCCACCCATCAAATGACAACTTTTGAATTCAAAGCCACCATGAACGTTTTAGCAAAAAAAACTAAATCGGGAACTTGTTCAGATCATGGAAGCTTTACAACAGGTTTATGGTTACTGCGCCACGCATAAAAGAAACAAAAGATCAAGAAAACATCTCTCTTGTGTAGAACCAAGTCGGACAAGATGAATGAGCTACCACTGAAGAAATTGTCAATGAAGTAGGAGTCGAGCACGAAACAGAGTTTTCAATTCTCACTACAAATCTTGGTTTGAGCAAACTCTCGGTAAGCACGGTTTGTTCCAAGGGCGTTGCAGGAGCAATAGCTGATCCAAAGGGCCGAACCTTCTTTACCAACTTTGGCAGAGATAGAAGTAGAAGGGGATAACTTTTAAGTGTTGCGTTAACAGAGATGTAACATGGATTTACCAATTTGATGTAGAAAATTAAATTCAATCAAAAGAGTGTAAATCAATGGGAGCATCTAATCCTGGCAAATTCAAAGCTGAGGGGTCCGTTAAGAAGGTCGTGGACACTTTTATTTTTAAACGGAGTGATATTGATATACTTGGGGTGTGCGATAGACCTACCTCCACGTGGTGCACCCTGGGCAACGCCAAATAAGTCTATTAACCAGCAGTTGACTTCTGACTCCAAACTACCATCGCCCCACTGTATCCCATATTCGACCCCTTTCACAGTACTCATCTTACCTTTTCTCCGCCTTTGTGTCTGTCTCTTTTACATCTGTGAATCACTCTTCTGTTCCCCCTCTCGACTTTTTGTCATTTTGATGTTCCTCATCCACTCTGTGAAGCCCGAAGCCAGCTAAAATGTCTAATAATAGCTATCAAAACGCCTGCTATTCGAAATAAATAAATATGGATATACTTTCTAGATGTATAGAAAACGGTCATCCAAAGTTTTTAGAAGGCGTTTTGAAGAAGTTGAAGACATCTTTGCCACAAACGGCACAGGAAATAGCATGGTCAAATTTTGTTTCATCATGTCAATGCTTTGGCACATTCTTCAAGAGCTGCCAGGGCTCTTTTGAGCGAACTTCGATGGGAAAGGCTTCCACATCCTCCTTGTAGTTTAGATCTAGCTCCTTTAGACATTCTTTTGATTCCAAAGATGCATGTCTAACTTAAAGGCACCAGAATTACATGTTTAGATGAAGCGAAAAGCATGCTATTTCATGGTGACAGAGACGACAGGCCCAAAATTCTACAATGAGATGAATTACAAGTGAAAATATAGACTACAGAAGTGTGTGGAAGGCAACGGAGCCTATATCGAACAAATAAATGATATCACTTGTTAAATAAATAAATTATGGAATTTATCTGACAACTTTTTCACTTAGGCTCATAATGGGGATAGCAGAATTCGAAGCTCGCGCCGGGGAGTCTTCATGAAGTTTTCCCTCACTCCAACGCCATTAAATTTAGAGAACCAATTTATTTCCTCATGATAAACTGTGTCATATGACAGAAACACACCTAATTGGATCAGCTGCACGACCAGCCATATGCAAACCGAAAGAATTAGTATTGTCAGTTTGAGTCAGGTTTATCTCAGAATAACAGGCCTGCAATGGCACTACGAATAGATAAACTCCAAAAAGCAGCAGCATAAACGCAACTGCATGGAGTCGATTTCCAAGCCAAATTAGCGAAGTTGAGTCAGCCACGAGGAAATTGCCAGAACTGGGCAGCGCGAAATCGGGGCAATAAATAACTTAGACACAATGAATTACGATTTCTATTTGTGCAAAATATTGGTCTCCACTTTATCACTACACGCAGCCTTAATGAAGTCTGGACCATTTAGTATGATATTCCAAACAGGAGTTCTAGGCGCTTTTAACTTTATGGCAATTTCGTTATGAATTAGCAACAATTATCAAAATGAGATATTTAGGAGCAACTTGGTGGCTAGTGGTTGGAGTACTTCATATGGTTCCATTTTCCACTGTTGCATAATTCGCCAAATAGAGTCAATCTGGCTGATGATGAAGGGAGTCTGCTCTTGGGACTGTAGATTCGGAGAGTTCAACTAATCCTAACCTCATGTCTCAGTGCAAGTCAGTTGGTCAAACTACGCTTTATTGCTCTTAATTGCTTGACGAGCCCCACACGTTTTTTCGTTACTAGACTTATCCTATAATTCCATATCCATTTAAGAACATCTGAATATGGTCAAATAGTTCTCTGCAGTCCTTATTTAATGAAGAAAAAACATCATTTTCTTAGTCAAGTTTAAACGTCAATACGCATTGTCATCTGCGCTTGAAATCCAAGTGCAATCAAAGCAATGATAGAAATTTGTGCTAACAAGCTAAATTAATGAAGCGAAATGCTTAGTAAATCGTCAGCTTATGCCAATCGACCTAATTCTGTGCCACTAAAGAGGGTGACGGAAATATGTCTCATTTTGAGCTATTAAGTTTCCAATTTACTTGCCGTATGCCACTGAATATATTGTTCTACTACTAATCTTCAAAGATATGATGAGTTGTCACAATCATGAATAACAAAGTCACTCAAATCAAGTCAGGGCAGGAAAGCTAAAGTTTCAATTAGGTGAGATTTTTGCAAAAAGAACAGAAACGTGATCACCCCCTTCTAGTTATTACTGTTGATGAATTCGCACGCCTCACGTTTCGAGACTGAGTTAGGGAACCCTTATGTGAAACACGACTAACTAGGCTATTACCACTACATTATGAATAAATTGGCACTGTGGGACACGTCATCGCATGCCTGCACGCCATGATTGGGGTGACCAATCATTAACCTCTGTTTGTTTAACCTAATCCGCCATCCTGATTCTCCTTCGTGTTCACTTTATCCGCGATACTCGTACTGAATAGACGAGCTCCTTGCTACACGTCTGTTCCCTTTATAGCTGGGCTATAGCTTAACTGGTTCTGGGAGTCTAGCTAGATGTAGGAGAATCTGCCATAGAGATTTCTGAGTCAGTCAGGATTTACTAAGGTAGCAATTCGCTACAATTCGCTCTACTTGATTTCCTTAACTTCGATTAACAATCTGCATAAAAGAAGATGAATGCAGTAGTAGCTTATTCTGGAGTAGAATCTATGAAATATGGGTAGTTTTTCCATTAACATGATCTCCAGAATTCTATTAGCAATTTTATCCAGAGGTCCAAGTCCAGATCGGCGTAAATAACCTTTGAGAATCATTGGTAAAAGCTCATGTTAATTGTGATTTTACAATGCATCCTATCATTAACATGGGTACCATTTTGCTTCAGATTTTTATGCATTTCGGTCGATATTTTATTTGCTGAAATATCAGATGTATCGGAAAGCTCCTAAAAGGAGGTTATTTCACGATGATAAAATATATACAGAATAGGTAGCGGATTGTTACACGAATAAGTCTTGATTTATACTTAGTATTCTCTATGGTTTCCACGATTAGCTAAGCTACCACAGAGTTATAGAGGAAACAGAAGTGCAACGTGGAAAACGTTCACTCGAGTGATGATATATTAGGACGTGTACTGTCCATTGTGCTGTGAATGTCAGACTGTCTGTTGAGGGCAAATTTTGAGTTGTGTTTTTGTTCCTCGTTGACAGGGCGCTTAGTCATTTATCGATCGATAGGTGCCTAAAATTGTGACCTTAAATGCTTTTGGGCATGATTTTGTAATGCTAAAGTTGTGTTTTCCACAAGTATGAAGGTCTATTTTAGTATTTATATACACAATTTCTTAAACGATGAGGGGTAATTTAATATCGACAGCGATTTGTTGTGAAAAATGAAAGCAATTGGTCAATTTTATAGGTATTTACTTTATTTGGACAAGAATTTGTTGGTTATTAAATGCATCGAATTTTACTTCAAATTCTGGCAATTAAACAAAACACATTTTAAAAATAGGGTAAATCGATTTTTAGTTTTGTTAAAAAATCAGTTTTAAAGTACTCTGTGTGAAGTGACATCATCTAGTTGGATCTTGTCTGGTTGTCCTATGTGGTTTGATGGGATTTGAATTGATCGGATATGAGTCTCTTCCGGATCGAGTAATACTTGGATCATAGATGTTAGGCAATTTTCCGTTCGAATCTGCACAAGCTAAAGGAGAAAAATAAAAATTTAAGCACTAGTTGGAGCCTTATTTAATGCGTGCTTTAACTGTCACTGGCATAGCAAACAATAAGAACTTTGTTTAAAAAATATTCAGGATGATTATATTTTTTTGTATGATGAGTATCTAAAAGCAGACACCGTTGAAGCTTTTACGACTAAATGTGGAGTCATCAAAACTTCATAAATCCCTCACTGACACTTACTTTGTAGAGGTGATCCGCTTTCGAAGGAGAAATAGAGGCCATTAGGATTACACTAAGCCAATTATGTTACCTGGGTACGAATTTTTACCAAAGCGGTAATACTTTCGGACGCACAGTCAGCAATAAACTCAATTGGAAGCAGAAAACCACCCAAAACAAATGGGATATACGAATTAAAAAAAACTGAATCAGCTGCTGAGAGAGAAAAACAAAACAGCGGTCCTACAATGGATTCCTGGTCACTGTGGCATTGAAGGCAATGAGCTTGCTGACACACTTGTTGAGAAGGGGACAATGATTTTGCAAGGCATAGACCGGTCGATGACTTTCCACACAATGAAGTCCTTAATCAGGAGAGAATTCCAGACCTCAAGGTGCAACGAACTTAAAGCTCGAACAAAGGAGAAATAGTGGACAGTGGCGCTCTCTGACATAGCCGACTGGCCAAGAATCGAAGCCATTGATGAGTTCAGACTACGTACCGGACACGATTGCTTGGCGAAACACCTTCATAGATTGGGAGTATACACTCAACCCACATGCCCCCTATGTAACCTACAGGAGGAAATGGAGAAGACCGACCTGATTCGGCGTCCAGCTCTAAAGGCAACGAAGGAAAGCCAGAGATACTGGGAAGCAAGGAGACCGCTAATGAACTGCTATTAATTAACTGCTATATATGTATCCCTCTCACCCATGGGGGAAGCTGAAGTCAAAGTTTAAGAGCTAATGATAAATATCATAAAATCTGCCATTTGAAAAAAAAATTTGTAGAGGTTAGGTATTCTAGAGCCCCTCCGAGGTGCAATTTACCTTCAAATATCCCTTTCTTTAAGCAATACAAATCAATGCATCAATTACGACCGACCTCACGACCTCTGTAGTCCTACTCATCGATCATTGAGCTAATGGGTTGAGCATAAAATCATCAAAGATTTTTGCTTACAATTTTTCAGACCGAAAGTTTAGAAGTATTTTACGATTGTTCCAAAACTTCCAAATTTAAGTTTTAGTTATGAGTTAAGGAATACAAAGGATGTTGTAAAATGAGCTTGCACAATTAGAAGGTAAAGAACAGAAGGTAAAATTGTTTGAGTGTAGAAAGATTCCTCGATTTCATTAGAGATCCAGCAACGCCAATCTTGGTTACTTTGTTTGGGTCAAAATCATGAATTAAATTAACCGATAAGCTTAGACATTATAATGCTAAAATTGGAATTTTTGGATCAAAATGATTATCAACCAATTTAAATCGAACTAACATAACATGTTCTCAAATATCTCAAGCTTTTCAAGCTTGCAGTCGGATATCCGATTATCATTCGTTTAGTAAAGAATTCAAATTTTAGCACATTAAATGAACTAACCAGTTCAGCTTCGATCAATTTTTCTACTATTATGAATTGACGATAAGAAGTATATGTCATAGGAATTCCTCAAGAATTTTTTAAAAAAATTTATGTTCGATATTGTTTTAACTAGTTTAAACGAACATCGATGTTAAATTGACATATTTGGGGAAATAGATCGGCTATTAGCACCAGCCTCCGTCTCCTTAATAGAGAATTCACCTGGTAAAGTTGAGGACACGGTGATTGCGATTATGTCAGTGAGGTCACTATTTTCTTACTTTCTCCCTAGTTGTCCTTCTCCCTCAGATTTCTATTACTGATGAACAGTGTTAATTGATTACTTTCTACTCGTAGTTCTCTAAGTTGAAAATAGTGTTCTCACAGTCCCATAAGATGAAAATAAATGATTGGCAAGATGGCTATTGCATGATGCGGTTTCCTCTTAGTAATGGAAAGCTGAGGAATTATTAAAAACGACCTAATCAGTTTGAAAGAAATTCAAAATTTTCATTCACTTATAATTTTCACAAACGGCTTTTAATTTACTATTAGTCCATAAGGTGGGGGTCGATAGTAGCAGTACAGCTGACCATTTTGCATTAAGATTAGTAGAAAGAATGTTCATATTAGCAATGAATTCCAAAATTGAGTAGGTAAAAGCCGAATCACATACACATTTTGCATAGCTGAAAAGATACCCCATCCTTACTGCATCATTCGTCTACATATCGATTTTCAGTTTACATCAATCGGACTTGGAATTATTGAATAACCAGATAACTATTCATTGTCTAGTTTTAATAGGCTCTACATCTTAAGTTGCATTTGTATAAAGGACAAAAACCAGTCTAAAGAATTTAGCTTCCAGAAGTATTATAGTGGCAACCTAATTTATATATAGCGACTTTCTTCCTATTACGCAAATTGAACACGCCAATCACAATAGCAGTGTACAACAATTAGAGCATGCAGAGACTGTTTCGTAACCTTGAGAATCAGGAAGAGAAGATGGCGAAGATCCGATGGGTAAACGGTTGCCAAAAGATGTGGGTCGAGAACAAAGATATTGACTCTTCCCCAGCACAATAATTTCTGAATTGTCTGCAAAAGCCACAATAGCTATAAAAGTGTACACCTGGACCTGCACATTTAATAGAATAATATAGACTAAATTTAGAAATATGATAAAAGAAGTTCAATAATGATTAGTAAGAAGACTCAGGAAAAATGCACTTAATCGGGAATAAATACTTAACAAATATATGCTTTAAAATGAGTTCGAATGATTTTGCTTAGGAAAACTTGGTTGAAAAGTACAACGGATATTACTTTTGGATCGATGCATAAATATATAAATATTAAAAGCCTAATTGACTGACTATTTTAGTTAAGGCTACGAATAGCTATTTGACAGGGAGATCGTTAATTGTAATCGATAAAATATCCATATTCATTGAACTCTGTTCTCTCGATAACATACTTGAAGTACAGTGTATTTGAAGGAAGAATGTTAAATAGAATCGACAAACTTAATTATTTCAAATACCCGCGTCCAAAAGTAACTTCTCCTTTCTATTATTTTTGAGGTATTTCTTGTGATTTTGAGATCGACTTGATAACTTTGCATAGAGCTGCATTTCCTCCTCTTTCGCAGATTCGAAACCTCGAGTGCTGGGATGACTTTGATCCGAAGAAACTGAACGACTATCCAAATTAATTGAAAGCGGAAGCACAGTAGGCTCAGTAATAAATGGTGGAATTAACCATTCATTAGTTTCTTCATCATATCTGGAAGAATCAATAAGCTACTTATAAGTATGAGTAGCAAAACATTCAAATAATTCGGAAAAGAAGATGCTTACCGAGCTTGTTTCTTAATTTTATCCAAATTGGAATAATTGCTATCTTTTCGAATACAGGGTTGTACCTTGTCTAAAATCGCTTGCAACAGACTTATATGTTGGTTTTGCTTGCGGATGGTTTCGAGATAGTCTTGCCGGTCAACTTCAAACTCACGTTGAAGATCACCAATTTCAATCTCCAGTGAGTTGGTCTGTTGGTAAAGGATGGAAAGCAGGAAAGAGCATAAAGTCATTCGAATATATCTAATTCAGATAATTTAATTTTTTAGGCAATTTTGAATAGGGTTTGGACATTTGTCATTGTCAATTAAACCAACTCACAGTGTTCCTATAGCATTGTGAAAATAACAAATGACCACTTTCAATAACTATTTATGTATTTTCCAAGTTAATCGCTTATAATAATAATGAACACCTTTGCACTGAACGCTTCCAATTGAAATATCAATAAGTTTAAAATATTCCCGCCTAACCGGCTGATTACTAAGCAGTGGACACCATGAACTTGAGTTTACTTGAATACGCCGGATGAAATCGGGATGAAAGTAAGCATTAATTAAAGACCCCTCTACTTATTCAATTTATTGCCAACTGTGAGATTCCCATATCCTTCTAGTTCTTAATGAATCATTCCAATATCTTGCCTCAATGGAAATTGCACGTAAAAATAGTACAATTGAGTAGAGCAAAACGAAACTGAAGCAAGCAAAAAAGATTATTTTGGATAGCCTAAGGAATTTTATTTTAAAAGCAAACTCCTATGAATGGACAAAAAACCACGTAATTCTATTGAAAACCACCTTTAGTTTTTCTCTCTCCAGTAGCTTAGATTTATGTCGAAGTTCATCTGAAATACTCTCATAGATGCTGATCATTATTCCATCATCGTCTGCTTCTTCATCTAGAGAGGCATTCGCTTCAGCCAAAATTCGCAAACGCTCCTCCGCGTGTCGTCTTCTCCGTGTTCGACGCTCTCGAACTTCAGAGTTATTTGCTTCCTCCCCACCCAACATATCTGCTTCTAGCAAGTGAAGTCTAGAATATGAGAAAGCTTCAAAATAAGATAATGAGTCAACTGCACAGAGGTCTGTTAATTGGGAGTAAATTTCAGAGTCTCTATGATTAAAAAGGTTCGTCAAACAAAGCGTGTTTTAAATGGTTTAAAGTAATATAGAAATTATTAAGATAGACTAACAGGAATATTCTATTGTAATAAGTGAAAGTAATTTCCCTCATTAACGGCCTGGAAGTAGACTGAACCAAGTTTTTTTTTCATCGGTTCTATTAGCGACGTCTTATTTAATAACTATTTTAATATTTATTTGGAAATCAATTATAAATAAACCAAAAATTGTTTGATCAGACCCCCCTTGAGATTAATTGGGAAGCAGGCTCTGAATAACACAGATGGAATCATTCAGAAACCAGGGCTCCAAGGATGAGACCATTATGTGATGGAAATAGGTAAAATTCCCTTTAAACCACCTGTGCAACTCATACCATCACAAGGAAAAATGGGATAATTCAGAATTGGTTCCAATCTTAAGTACTTCTGAGTATAGAACTGGCGGAAATGACACTAGACTGGTAAGTTCTCTGCCACACATCAGAATCTTCACAAATCCAATCAAAAAGACAAAAGAGTAATCGACATTTCTCATATAATTATCATAAACCTATCCAACTCAGTCTTAGCAATAAAATTAGTTTCTAGAACAACATTTTATTTTTGACATTAAAGACAATCAGATTGTGCTCAATCGATTAACACAAAATTAACCAACGTAAATTAGAATTATTTATTGTGAAGGCATGTACACTTAAGTGGATACATTAGAAGTTAAGTCATGCTTCTACTGCATGTACTTGTCCATAAAGTGTGACAAAGAAGACATTAGAGCACAGACAATAAATGTGGAAGAACCTCACGTGGGAAAACCATAGTAACGCTGACGTATTCATTATTAATCTATATATACTAAGCTGTTTGGTGATTAAATGATTTTATTCCTGCAAGGTGGAGAATAAAGTACAGAAGGTATGTACGCAAAAGTCTATTCTAGTGAGAGTGCATAGATGGCTGGGAAGAAAGTGTGAAAAGCAAAATAACTGCCCAATTTTCCTAAAACTTCAAAAATGGGATGCATTGACTGTATTTTTGCAGTTCAAATTTTCATTCATTCACGCTATATCCTCAAAGGTGAGAGAAACAGAAGTAGCCTGAAACGTCCTACTTTAGATGGAATTCTATTTTATTAAAGTAGTTTTATATCTTTGGAACAAAGGAACAAAGGAGAAACACTGGACAGTGGCACTCTCCGACATAGCCGACTGGCCAAGAATCGAAGCCGTTGCTGAGTTTAGACTACGTACCGGACACGATTGCTTGGCAAAACACTTTCACAGATTGGGAGTATACACTCAACCCACATGCCCCCTATGTAACCTACAGGAGGAAATGGAGAAGACCGACCTGATTCGGTGTCCAGCCCTAAAGACAAGGACGGAAAGCCAAAGATACTGGAAAGCAAGAAGACAGCTAATGAACTGCTATTAATTAACTGCTATATGTGTATCCCTCTCACCCATGGGGGAAGCTGAAGTCAAAGATTAAGGGCTAATGATAAATATCATAAAGCCTGCCATTTGAAATAAATAAATATATATATCTTTGGATTTTAGTCTACAGTTAATACTCCTCGTAATAGTATACATATAAGAGAAAATGTCATATTACAAGCACTAACATTTTTCTTAATTACAAGCAACGCTTGTTATTTCCATTACTTTCAATGAATAAAGCAATCACGATGCAAAATAGCAAAAATATATGCGAATGGTTCAGAACTAAGTTGAAAACACAAGATAAATGCCCCTCATAAAAGTCTGCGATGCAATGTTTTAATTCTCATTGTTTTGTACAGAAATCAACGAATTTCGCCTAGCTTTAATGTGATATCTTAA